TGCATCATTCATTTGTTAATTTTGAAACTACCTAAAAATTTAAAAACCTAAAAACTAGAAAATTAAGACTGTACTCCCGGGACATCGCCCGGGCCTGAGAGCTAGTCTTTGGGATATAAAAAATAATTATATAAAGGTGTAATTACGTAATAACGCCATGAGCGTTATTACGTAAATATAAAGTGCATTTTATATAGTCACAACTATGTTAAAAATAAAATCTTGTACCGGTAACTAGAGTTTTATTAAACAAAAAATTTTTTAATATTAAAATTATAATGTTATATCAAGTTCTGACCTTGATTTTCTCAATCACTAAAACAAATTGACTAAAATTTTTTTTACTAAAGATAAATATTTTATTAGATATTTAAAAAAAAAGGTTGATTTTTAATATCTATAACGATTACGAGATTCTCGTTCATTGAACCGATCAAATAGTCTTCGGTCACTAAAACGGTCCCGCCCATAATTACGGTCATCATGACCGACGAACGAACGCCCTCCCCACGATCTTCCTTTATTGTTATTACCAAATCCTATCCTTGAAAGTAACCCAGGACTTATATTTGGCTCAGTTCCAAAAGCTTTACCCAATTCGTAGACAGAATCCAATAAATCATCTTTTCTGATAAAATACGAACTCATTTTTCCCGAATCTAATCAATAGATAAAATAAAGCAAAAACAGATGAGTAGGTCATATTCAACTTATAATTTCCAAAATAAGTTTAAAAGTGCTTACAATATCCGAGGAAAGCCAAGCACGCACTTCTTACTATAGAACTATCAAGCATTTCGATGGATTTCACAACTACCGAGTCTGTGCTTTTTTCCAAATCAGAATCAATACCCTCTATGCGTTTTACAGGTAAGTTATCAATGCAATTTATAAAGCCCTTTTCAAAAGGTGCCAAAAGCAATATTCCTTCCCCTTCCTTGCCCGCACGACCTGTTCGTCCTCCACGATGGATATCCAGCTCAGAAGGTTGATGCGTCACAGGGCTGATATAGTTGTTGGCACCCCCGGAAGAGTTGAGGACTTGTTATCAAGCCTTCCGCATTTCAATAGACAATGCATGGAAATTAAAACTGTGTGTATAATTTTCTACATAATTAATAGAAATGATATGGCTGTTAGAATTAACATGTTTTCTAATTACGTTTTCTCTGATCGAATTTGAATCTGACAGCTAATCCTCGATGAAGCAGATCAGTTACTGGATTTGGGATTTCGTGAAGATATTGAGAGGATTATTCAATATTATCCAAAGGATCGTCAAACGTTTCTATTTTCTGCCACAGTTTCACCACAAATCCGACAAATTGCAAAATTTGCACTTAAGTCAGATTACACATTTATCGATACGGTTGATCCGAATGATGTAAACACAAATGTTCAAGTAAAGCAAACATATGCTATTATCCCTTATCATTTCCATCTCGTTGCAATCCGCAAAATAATCAATGATCATATGAAACAACACAAGAATGGAAAAATTATTATGTTTCTGCCGACAAGAATGTCAACTATACTTTACGCAGATTTTCTTCGAAATGTTGGCGATGTTGAAGTTTTTGAGCTTCATTCTGGAAAGTCTCAAGAA